GCTGTGCTCGCTATTGTATGAAAAATGTTTAAACGCGCCTTTTGATGAATAATTTCCCAAACATTCGAGACCCTCAGTTTCAGTTGGCATTGAGTAAAAATGGACAAAAAATAAAATAACAGGATGTTAATAATTACACACTCTTCACCTACACATTATTTGTTTTGCAATCTCTGAATTACAGTCTATGTTGACTTATTCTCATACTTGAAGGTTTTACATTGCTTGTACAGCTGGTCGGCACGAGTTACATAATAGCTATTGTGCAAGTCTAATAGTTTAATTCAAGTCACAGGCCTATGTTCATTCATAAGAAAAATCCTTGTTTTGATTTTAAAAATAAACTATCGATAATTGGTTTCAAACAATGATTTTTAATGTAATAATGACTTACATGGTTGCTACTTTCAACAAGAAATACATGACAAAAAGACATTTTGAGTCGCTTATTTACAAAGTGAACACTAATCGATTTTTATAGAAATTGAGCTAAGTATCGATTCACATATAAAAACACTCAATTATAGTACAATTAATTTCTTTTAAAAGTGATAGTAAATATTTTAAATAAGTGGTATGAAAATAAGTTTATTTCAAAAAACATCTTCAGGAAATTTCTTAAATGTTCTTAAAAAACTACACACAAAAAAATCAATAACTTTCTTAACTTTTTTATTCAAATGAAAATTAAAAATAACTTTATTTTATTATACCATTATTGTAAACAAATGTTACTTTTTTCAAGTCAAACAAAAACTTCAAACCTTCCAATCAAAATTATAGCGACTTAAAACAAAAGCACCTTGGTACGTGACTTACAAACCTCTACATACTGACCTACATCTACCAACAGTTGAACAACATATAACGACCCTTTATCAACGATTTTACACAAAGTTTTAAACTTACATAATAACAGACTAATAAGAGACATGGCCACAGCTGACATACCTCAGATCATGAGGAGGAGACTAAAAAGGCGTTGGATGAGGGATCTCCTTCCTTAGACAACCTAAGTAATTGGAACAAGTTAGGGAAGAGGTACTGCTGAGTACTTTCCTTCCACATGCCTGTCATGTCATTATATCATGTATCGCCATCACATTTGCTGATTGTCAACAATAACTTGACAGGTGCAAATACATTTTTATAGACAAAAAATAAAATTTGTTTAACGGCAATTTTCATAACTTTTTCTCCCCGGACAATACACCATATTTTCTCTCCAAAACAAACCCCAATCAACAAATTTTTAGTTAAAAAATGGGCTTTGAAGGATGATTCATTTCAAAAGTGGACCTATTCAAGAGTCGATCTTTTTTAATTATTGTCATAATAGCCAGTGATTTTGAGAAATTCATTCCACAAATATGGGATTTCTTAATTTATTTTTTTAAAAAATAGTACTTTTGATATTACAATTGGAATAGAAAATATATTTTTTTCCATTTCCTGATAAATTGTTAATAATGAATAGGGTTAACTTTGGAAATAAACGTTTCATTTGATCAGTAGTAAATGTAAAATGTTTGTACTTACATTGAAATAATTTTTTTGAATAAAAATAAAAAACACATTTCTCAAAAGAATTGAAAGAGGTTTGTAGCATAATCTTGTAAAATTACTGATACAAATATTTAAAAACCTAGAGACAAAAAAATTATTGATAGCACAAATTGTAAAACTATTTATAGATTTTGAATACAAATCAACGTTTCGATCCGCCTTTGCAGGTCTTCTTCAGGGCTAGAACGGACAAGATACGAAAGGATTTAAAAAAGTTACATAATATTTAGATACAAATTATAAACAAGGTGAATAAACTTATCGAAACTATAAACAGTAAGTACATTGTTCTTAATATTTCAATGTACTTGCTGTTTATAATTTCAATAAGTTTATTCACCTTATTTATAATGTTTATCTAAATATTATGTAACTTCCACAATTTTCGATATCCTTTTGTATCTTGTCCGTTCTTGTCCTGAAGAAGACCTGCGAAATCGTATCGAAACATTGGCTTAAAATAAAATAGTTATTCCACTCTTTTAGTCTATTTATGACCGCCCCCCGGACCATCTCCTTCCTCTATTTTTTATTTATTTTAACTATACCCAAAAAATGTATTTGTATAATTAAAAAAGGATATAAGTCAATTAAAAAAAGTAACAGACTTGAGAAATAATCTAATCTTAAATGAATGCTCTTGTGTATCTGCCTAAACACCTTGTTGTCTACTAATATTTATACTTGATGTAATAGTCGGGTGCCTTAATATGAAAATGCTTAGAATATAATGAAGTATTTTTCATTACTTTAAACTCAAATTGTTACTAAACACTCCTTTTTGGATGTATTTTGTTTTTCATAGGCCTAAATCATGGCCTGAATTTCGATCAAAATGTCAGCAAAAAACGAAAAGTACAAGTATTTCTAGCGGAGTAAGTGACCTACATTAAAACTGTTGGAATCCAATGGACGCAGAATTTCTCTGCAGCTTTTGTGCTATGAGTTTTATCCATTTGATACATTAATTTCATACTGCATGGCTATTTATAGTAATTTTTCTCAGTTTTTTTACTGATTTAGTAAAAATCAGCATTTGTTGACCGTAGTTTTCTACCATACTACTTAACCAAATCATTAAATTTAGGTATTCGTTCGAACCACAATTTAACGTTCTTTCATTTTTTAAACAGTACATTTTTTGATTCGATGCCGTTTACTAGTCATAAGTGAAAAAACCAAAGAAAGGACGAAAAATATGTTTTTTTAAACTGTAAACAATATTCACTTGGTTGCTAGCGTTAACAATTTTTCTGTTTTTACAAGTTTGAATATACACAAGTTAAAAAAATAACAATTGTTCCCACATTTTTCTCAATATATTTTCTGGTTCGATCCTCAAGTTACTGGTCTAATATTCTTTAAATCGGTCGCCATTTATAGAAACAGCGGCTCTGGAATGGCAGACAAGGTTCATTGTACTTAGTATAATACACACATCCGCAATTTATATTGAAACCTTCGTCTGCAACGATGTCCATGTCCTTCAGTCATGATGAACTCTATACGTATCAATCAGACTGACGCCATTTTAGCTCAGTTGACGATGAGCTAACAGGCATTGTACATTAATAATAATATGTTTAATTAAAAATATATTTTTTCATTATCCTTTATAATGGAATTGGACATCAAGAGAAAAGTTGAAATATAATAATTGCATCCTAGTGCCTGAATTTCGTTTTCCACAAAAGTTAGAAAAATAGAAGTCAATTACTTACAAAACTTAAGGAAAAATATTACGAAAATAATATAGTTGTTCAGAAAATAGGAAAAATATCTAACAACAAGCAACAGTTAAAACTTAATTTTTTTCTACAAGTAAATTGTGACGTTTCCACTTTTGGTTTTTATTTTCAATAATGAACCATTGTTCATTATTGAAAATAATTAAAACATTTGAGGTTCTACGTTTCAAGATATCTAGAATTTGAAAAACGAATAAAATTTGTTGTCCCTCCAACGTCCGCGCATTTTCTCCGAAACTACTGGACCGATTTTTTTAAAAATTAGTGGTCATCCGCGGATGATCCTCCTTCAATGACATTTCTATCCGCCTTTTCCTTTCAAGATGGCGACCGTTGCTATAGACCGTAGCGCCTAAACGAATGTACCGATTTTAATGAAACTTCGCTAAAGTCTTCTTCTCGATGCCCTTTAAATTTATCTATATAACATACCTCAACGAAAAGAAGTTGGAAAAAAAGTTACGAGGGATGGTAAAATTAGATTCCGAATAACTCAAAAAGTATACACTTTTTTGTCGATATTTTGATAAGATGTTTCAAAGGTATTTAAATTTCCTGTAAATACAGTTGTAAATGTCATAAAGAAATAAAAAAAAAAAAATTTCCTAAAAAATGAAAAAAAGTTTCATCGCAATCAAAGCACTAATAGTAAAGATATCGCGGATTTAAATATTTTTATATATTATATATGGTTAGATTTTATATATTTAAAAGTTTACGGAATTTCGTAAAAAACAAAAAACGTTATAATCGTACAATTAGGAGCAAAGGTCTATAGATGTTTTTTATATGTTCTACTGCAAAGGTAATACCCTTTGTTTTTTTTTTTTTGTTTTTTTATTTTTGAATATGTTAATGAAGTAATGCTAATTTTTTATGATTAAAAAAAATATGTTCTGTCCAATAATTGGAATCGCTTTTTATTTCCTTTTATTTGTAACTAGGAAGGTAATGTTATTTTAGATGTATAATTGTTCGGAAATAATAAACCATTGTGAAATAATTTGAAGCGTTTTTTATTTAATTTATTGCTCACTTGACTATTTAAAAAAAAATAGTTGAAGATGGTTTATAAAAATATAAACAAGGGATATGAAAAACTAATTATTTTATATGGAGATAATGAAGATACAATGGTTATGAGGCCTAGGCAATCCAACTTTTCTAATAGTAAGGTTTGTCTCCCCATCACTTTTACCTCAGTCACTCCTCCACTTCTCGTGATTGAAGGTATGATTTACGGAAATCTGGCAGTTACGGTACTTCAATCATGACCTTACACGATCAATCAGAATGTCAGTAGTGCCTCGGAATGTCATTCCCAATGACCATGTAGGGTCCGTTTTAAGCTAGAGGTCAAATATTGCTAAGGTTAAGTAAACGGGGGTTCGATCCCTACCCAGGTAGTTATTTTTTAGAAGAGAGGGTAAGAGGAGAGGGGTGCACAAAGAAAATGCTTGAACTGGGACGTTGTCGACCTTAACTACGCCAATGTATGTGTTTCTATTTTGACTGCACCTTCAGTAACTAGTTCATGCAGGTACTAACTCTATCGTCAGAAACTCGAAAATGATATTTGAGGGGCTAATAGTTTAATTTGCAGCCCTTAAGTAATAAGCTTATTATATTTTTGCTTTGTTATTTAAAATATTAATTAATAATAATGTACATATTATTTTTTTACAGGCGGACTATAAACCACACCATCGCTCCCTCATGATTAAAGCCAAACCATAAAGAAAGAAATAACCTCATCATGGACGAAGAGACTCTAAACAATTTCTGCGGTTCAAGATTTTGGGTAAGACATTTTATTATTTTACAAATTATCTTAAATGTTAAGTCCTGATAAAATAAGTCTCTGAATTTTGTAAAGTTCTAACTGCTTTGTCGCAGAGACTCTCACCTAGTCCAACTTAGCACTGCATGAGGTGATTAGAATAATATCACGTGAAAATGCATGTGTTTACGGTGGAATGAATCATGAAATCATTGGATATTCAGATAATATAACTGTCCTTGGAAGCAATCAAGAATAGATTGAGAAACTTGCTAAGACTCGGATAAACAAAACAAAGCGGATCGGTTTACTATTTAATGTTAGTCCAAAATTCTAAACCCAATAACGGGATCTGCGCAGAAGGGAAATCGTTTCCGAGAGTAAACAAATTCAAATAGCTCGGACACAATAACATCAATGAATGACAAATGATCGGAAATAGACCGGCGGATAACGAGCCTAAACAGATTCTTCTCTGATTCAATGATATTTAAATCCCGAAAAAATCCTAGAAATCTCAAATTAAGAGTGTACGATGTTATGATAATGCAAGTTCAGATATTCGACAGCGAAATTTGGACACTGACTAGCATCTGAAGGATTTGAGGGGAAAATTCTCCGCACGATAACCGGAGAGATCTGTTGTCAGAATATTAAAGCATAGAGAAGGATAAATAAACAACTGCTTACAGAAACTGGTCAATCAATATCTCATGATACAAAGAAGAGGAGGTTGAGATGAATGGGGCATATAGCTCTTACCATGTGGATTAAGGCATTCATTGTTGTTTATAGGCTTCCAGATAGATTGCTAAGAGCTATCTGCTTCACCCATCTTAATCTCCGTGCCTACATATCGTGGGATATTGATTGACCAGTTTCTGTAAGTAGTTCTTCCAGATATCACAGTCATATATTAAAACTGGCTTGAAGTATTGCGAGATTAAAGTTGTGCTATAGTATCGATATCGATATATTTTTCATTCGATATCGCCTGATGTATCGAAACAAAGGATTTGATATTTTCGTAACTTTTAAAGAAAAAAGCCATTTCGGGTCTCGATTTTATTTTTTGTTCATATTATAAACATAAATATATATAGTATTTAAAAAACATAAAATGAGCGTATTAACACATGCCAATATTCTTCAAACCATTGCAATAGGAACTCTTAAATATCTCTAAATATTTCAAAATGCATTTACAATACTATAAAAGAAAACAGCCCGTCGTCGGTTCATTCCAAAGAGTCACAAGGTACATTTTTGATGGAGCTGAACATTTTTTTTTTGTACACAAGAACGTTTACGTAAATTTCTACTTAATTTATCAATGAAAAACTGATGATCAGAAATAGGATTGTTGCGAGGTCGGGCGTTCCAATATTTCTTATCGATATCACCAATATCGAATGATTTTTAGACCAAAATAAATTGTTAATATACCTTAAAAATATACCGGCGATTTATTGAAAAACAGTCATTAAGTGACTTAAAGCTTCATAAGCTTAAATCACTTAGAACATCGATAGATTTTTATTTTGTGAAGTCAGAAATTTGAGCACTAGTTGTAATTATGTTTGATGTATGTGGATAATATTATGTACGAATATTTGTGCCATCTTAGTTAACTTACGTAGTTTTTCATTGATAAATTATGTAGAAATTTACAAAAAATGTTCTTGTGTACAAAACTCCATCAAAAATGTACTTAGTGACTCTGCAATGAACGACGACATGAGCTGTTTTCTTTTATAGTATTGTAAATGCATTTTGTAATGTATAGAGATATTTAAGAGTTCCTATTTCAATGGTTTAAAGAATATTAGCATGTGTTAATACGCTAATTTTTTTTTTTAATATTATATATATATATTTAAGTTTATAGATGAACAAAAAATAAAATCGATATCAGATACTGTTTTTTTTTTCAAAATTAGGAAAATATCAAATCCTTTATTTCGATACATCGGGCGATATCGAATGGAGAATATATCGATATCGAATGGAGAATATATTGATATCGATATATTCTATCGCACACCCTTAAGCTAGCAATTCGTAAAGCTAGTTTTAATGTATGACTGTGATACCTGGACACTAACCAACATCCTAGAGAAAAGTGTTTGAGAGAACTGGAGCGATCTGGGATCAGAGTACTAACACATGGAGAAGAAAGACCAATAAAGAACTACTTATTGAAACTGGTCAATCAATATCTCACGATATGTAGGTACGGAGATTAAGATGGGTGAAGCAGATAGCTCGTAGCAATCCATCTGGAAGCATCTACACAACAATGAATGCCTTAATCCACATGGTAAGAGGCCTAAAAGCAGATAGATAGATCGAATCAACAAAGATGCAATAGAGCTGCATGCAGATAACTGGAAAGAAATACCCCAAGATAGACAGAGATGACCATCGATAGTCCATATTATCGAAATATCGATATATTCCTTCCGATATTCGATATGTTGACATCGATATTATCTACTATAGATATCGTCTCTTCGGTATTTTAATTTAAAAATTAGAATTAAAACTATTGATTTCGGAAAGCGTTAGAAATTATATATGAATTTAATCGGTAGAAAAATAATATCGATGAAAATATCGACTACCAATATTTCAAGACTGGTATTTTGATGTTATCGATAATTATAGGCCGATTTTAATTCGATGTCCTATCCCTAGATTAATGCCAACGATAGGCAAAAGCAAATCGCCATAATGAACATGTTTGTCTGAATTTAATTTTTACAATTTATTTACATCCTACATATATTTCTGTGACAATTCGTGGCCTTGACTTGATAAGGTTCTAACCAACAAATTTGGGATAGTTGAGTTTAATAAGTAAGAAAGGTTCCACGAACGCTAGTCAACTCTACTTAGGGATGGTCATAGATTGTCGATATTATCGAAATATCTACATTTTCATCTACTACGCATTATATTCTATATAAAATAGGCAAGATGAGTATAATTTTTTTCCGAACTATCAGATTCATATATAATCCCAAAAACGATAGTTTTAATTTTAATTTAAGTCTCCACCAGTTTGTTCGATCGTTGGCTACAGCTCTCCAATTTCGGACTCCAAGAAGGGCCTGCGCGTCCGCAAAGACTGAGTCAATCCATCGCACGTTCGGTCACGGGTGGATCTACGTGTAGGGGGGAGGCTTTGGGGCTGAAGCCCTCTCCCCCCAAATGGTAAAATATAACCATGTTTTATGGAAAAAATATTAAAAAATTATCTCTTAAAGTATTATTGTTCGTGTAATTATAGTTAAAAGGACTTTAGGAATCACTTAAACATCATTTCATATAGGTAATTAATTTCTTTCTTTTTTTCCAAAGTAATTATCGCTATCTTTATGAAAAAAAAAGCTTTCGGGATGAAGCTCCTCCCATAAATTAAATCCTGGATCCGCTAGTGCGTTCGGTCGTCCAACTCGCCATTTCCCGTAGACCTCTTCGGTAAGGATTATTTTCGGAATTTCCTTGGCAGTCATCTTGCCGATCGAAGTTGTCCGAACTTCACTAACTTGACTATGTCAACATCGTAAGAGAGTCTCGTTAGTTTGGAATTCCCCATTCTCCAGAAATCTTCCTGTCTAACAGAACCGAAAGTCCGCCTAAGAATGCTCCTCTCGAAGAAAAGAAATTTGGCCTCGTCTGTCTTCGTGAACACCCAAACTTCTAAGCCATAAGTGACGACTGGGTGGACCAGGGTATTAAAGAGCTCGATCTTGGTCCGGTTAGAGAGTAATCTAGTTCTAAAATGTTTGGCAAGGCCAAAGTAGCAACTCTGCAATCCTCCTGGGTAAAGTAATTTTGGGAGTTGATTTTCAAACCAAAATAGGTGAAGTTGCTTATCTTTTTTAAATTAAAATATTAAACATCGATAGTCGATAATATCGACTATCAATGGCCATTCCTATCAGGCATCACTCTTATGTTTTACTAGCAAATCTACTCATATTTCCACTCTTTTTTGGGGATATAATGCTTATTATTTGATAACGAGTGGAACATTAATAGTAGTGTGTATAACTGTTACATTTGCCTTAGAGTAGGTTAAAAAACATAATGACTATTTGCCTCATATTGTTTTCTTATATCTCCAGGAATCTAATTATACATGGGATACAGAAACACCACGATTGACTCCATGTATCGAAAAAACTGTTTTGTGGATACCTTGTCTCTTTTTATGGATGTTCTCGTGTGTTGATATATTCTACATCTACACCAGTAAATCCAGAAACATTCCATGGAATTGGAGGAACATTCTTAAGTTGGTAAGTGTTCAATTTATCTTTATTAAAAAAAAAAAAATAATGGAAGCATGATAATAGTTATCATGTATTGATACTAACCAGAGCTTTGATATTAACTGTCAAGGCTACATTATACATTGTATGAAATATGATCTGTAATGTTTAATTCATATTGAAATAACTATTGGTAAAATCATTAAATAATTTATATTATATTTATATTGTGTATGAACATACGGAGTTGAGCTTTGGGGTTCTACCAAAACATCGAATTCCTATCGTATCCAATCCTTACAATCCAAAATCCTTCGAAAAATTCTTAATGTCTTATATTTTATCACAAATAAAACCATTCATAAAGACATTAATGTTCCATATGTCGCTGATTTAGCCCGAGCTAGATACCTATCCTTTCATGATAAACTCCAATCCCATTCGAATCCACTTGTTTCCAGCTTTGCTTCTTCCTCGAATCCTGATAATCCCCATAGGCATCTGAAAAGAAGATGGTCACGTGATCTTCCCACTTAGGAAGTCTGTTCATGCCATTATTTCCAATGTATGCATTTTTACTTGTTGTATTGTTTATACAGTTGTAAATTTCATTAAATAAATAAAATTAAATTAAAAAAAAAATTATATTGTTAGTATTTAAAGCTGGAATTTAAGAACTTTTAGTTAGATTTATTTATGATATTTACAACAGTATTAAAATAAAAAATAACCTTAATAAATAAAGAAAAGTAAAAACATTTGATGGAATCAACGTTATAAACATAAGAATCAAAAGAAATAGCTGATGTATTTTCTATGACCACGACTATTTATCGAAGATTATTGGAAAGAATAGGTGGTGTATATTTTTATTTATTTTTTTATTATTTGGTTTCTTAAAGGGTTCTAACTGGAAAGCCTTAACCAATTATGTATAGCAGGCCACATTGCAAAGATCTCAATTAGTCAGATAGCAAACTATTGATAAAATATCGTGTTTATTTATTGTAAGGTTTGTTTTATTGTTATATTGCATTTGATGATTATTATTATTATTATTGTTGAATTTAAATTTCTTATTTGTTGGATTTGTGATGTATTAATGTTTGTTTTTTGAAAACTTTGTCTAAACAAATGAGACAGTCAAAAAGAAAATTGCTAGAATGGGTTTATAAAAACATAATAATACTGTAGATATATTATTGCTCATTTATTTTAGTTATAAATGTGATGAATATTTATTATTGATTACACACAGACCTCGACAGACGGAATTTTCCATTGTCTATGTGTTGTTGCTTGTATATATATATTTTACTTTGTATAATTTTTTTTAAAAGTTTAATAAACACGTTTTCATTCATTCATAGGTGGTGTATTTTTATCCGTTTCATATAATATGGTTTTGGGAGTCTCGAGAATTTATACTTCATTTTTTTATCGGTATAACAAAGATATCAGAAAATGACTGATCATCCAAACGTAGAATGTAATTAATTTAAACCAAAGTTAATCAAAATTTTGGGGAGGGCTTTCAAAAAGTATTCATAAATTATTATTAACTTTATTAATCATACTTATTTCAGTCCTTTCCAAGCTAAATATAAAAAAATAATAATAATAAGTTCTAGTTAATTCCATAAGTTAATTGTGAACACATTTCATAATTTAGTCGCAATTATGGATTTTAGTAATAGTAGTAATTAAACAGCAAAATGATAATACTGAAGGTTTTTTTTTTTAGATTTATTTATTCATGATATTTACAACTGTATTAAATTAAAAATACATCAAGTAAATGTGTACGCAGGAATATAATCACATGAAAACTCTTGTTAAGAAACTACTCACTGATAGTACTCTAATAATATATTTACATAAGAAGATCACGTGGCCATCTTCTTTTCAGAAACTTCGTAGAGATATCAGGGATCGAGGAGGAAGCAAGATTTGAAACGAGAGGGTTCGGATGGTTTTGAAGTTTGTTATGGATGGGTAGGTATCTGGATTGGATTAAATCGGAAACATATGGTACGTTAAGGTCGTTATGGATGATTTTATTTGTGACAAAGTAAGCAGCATTTAGGATTTTACGAAGGATTATGGATTGTAAGGATTCGATACGAGAGAAATTCGATGGTTTAGTGGAGCCTCAAAGCTCAATTCTGTAAGTCCAAATAAGTCTTATTATATTCATATCTATGAGTCTTTTGTAATTAAATGAAAGTTTAGAGCGCTTTTCTAGTAAGTTTAATTGAAAACGTCGATCAGTCTCTTGCCGTTTCAATGTTGTATGAGAATTCCAACTGATTTCTAAGTATCGGATTTGTTCAACAAAGATATGTGAGGAATCGTTAAAAGATACTTTAGGACAGGAGGTCATGGGTTTACGATGAAGAGTAAAGGTAATTTGATGGGGGTCTATTTTAATTCTGCAGTTTTGACACCATTCTTCAAGGTTTATGATATGTGGTTGAACAGTTTGGGATGCAATAGATGAATATTGCATTATTAACTGATAGGATACATGTGTCATCGGCATATGTGGTGACTATTATGTTGGAATGTCAGCTGTATAAACTCTGTAAAATATAGGACCTAGAATAGTACCTTGAGGATATATAATAATTAAATCCCATATAAAAAAGTTAGGTATTTAATCTTCATCTTAATACAAAGTGTCCAATATAATCTAAAAGTATTTTGTAAAATTTCGGTTTGAGGATATAATTCGGTTTTGCTTCTAAAAATTAGTTTCATAGCTGTTATTTGATGTAAAAATTTACGCCTCAAAGAGCCTAAAAAAAACCTGTTTAGAGCTGGAAGTTAACCTTTATTGACATTTCTTGTTAGAACAGGAACTCTCCTTGGGATTTTTTTTTTTTACCGTATATACCTATATATAGAAACTGCTATTCCTAAGAATAGTTTATATTACTTATATTCGTTTAATGATATTTGTTAAATAAAATACCAAACTACTGATTTATGATTTAAAAAAAAAGATTTTTGGAAGACTATTTCTTTGTAAATATTAAACGTAAAGAGCTCATTCTGGGTCCAAATCGAAGCTGATAGAATGCCCTCTAAAACAGTGTATGACAATTATATGCTTAGAAATATATAAACATATAAATATAAATTTATATATGTATATATATATATATATATATATATATATATATATATATATATATTTATTTATCATAGGTATTTGCAGTAGTGGAATGTTAAGGTTACATAGCAACCCACTGCTGCATTTTTAAACAATTACATTTTTATTCCTCAGCTGTGCACACAGCTTGCTCTTCACTTCACTTCTGCCCTCATTGGATGCATTTTGGATTTAATTCATTTTTAATCTAGGCATTTAGAAAATCTTCTGAAACATATTTATTTTATATGTTTACTTCTAACTTATTTACGGAGGTCGAGTTTGTTCCATTTCGTGAAGCATTAAGATCTCTATATACACATACCTAAAAAATTTCTGTGAATCAGTAGAGACATGATTTACGTGATTTAATCACAATTTTTGAGTTTCTCGAAAAAATACGTGCGGAAAAAATTCAAATTTTTCGATTGCTAAAATAATTTCGTTCAAGGGTTTTCTGAAGAGCGAAAAACGAATATCAACTTTTTTTTCTCACTAAAAAAATATTTACTCTAGATAACGGGTCGATTTTGAAAATATATTTGGTAAATAGTTTTTGTGCGGGACAAAATTTAGCATAATATGTGGGTATAAATATATACATATTGGGTCTAATATTTTTCGACCTAGTAACACCAAAAAAAGTTTCAAATCCCACGTCCGTAACCTCTGCTATCTTCACATTACTGGATGTAGTGTATTTGAAGGTGTCCTGTTTCTCTTGATCTCAATGCTAAAGGAGAATATCTTATGAATTATTCCTTCCGGTTTATCTCCCATAGCTCTTGCCATCTTTCAATGTCGGTCTCGGTGAATGTTTCTTTTCCTGAACTACCTGGCGTTATTTCTTCTTCAAACTACTTGCTATTAAGCCAAGTTTATGTATTCGAACAACAATTTAATCTATCTACATCAGCTTACTCAATTTTAATACAGTTTATATTTATAATTAAAAAAAAATATTTATCTTCAAAATCTAACATGATATATCGTAGGTCTGAATTCTATATGTTTGAACAATATTGTTTATATCGATATTGAAATTATATTATCAAAATCCATATATTTTTAGAAAAAAATATACTTAGACGTTTAATTCAACAACCAAAGAACGAAAACAAATTTTCTGTAGATTAGTGTTGTGGTGGGTTCATGCTGCCATCTGTAGTATTATTACTGATCTACCGACGTCCTCGGTATTTGCTTGTTTTTGTTTGGTAACGTACAGTTATCTTTCGTGAGGTCGGCAGTTTTGGAGTATTTTAAAACTAATGACTCCACAAAATTTAAAGTGTGATTCGTACCGGAAAACATATCAAACGAATGACAATTCCGTACTTATTGTTCCGTTCTTATAATGATTGTCTTTTTTGACAACTGTTGATAAATTGATATAATTTTCCTATTATTAATAAATCATTATTTATTTTTTTCTATTTAAGCTATTACAAAATTAATACTTCCTCGTTATTTTATTTGTCACAAACGAAATCATCCATAAAGACCTTAATGTTGAATACGTTTCCGATTTGGTCCAATCCAGATACCTATCCTTCCATAACAAACTGCAGAACCATCCGTATCCTCTCGTTTCAAACCTTGCTTCCTCCTCGATCCCTGATAACCCTCCAAGGCGTCTGAAAAGAAGATGGCCTCGGGACCTTCAAATATAAAACTTCAATTTCAGTTCTACCAATGGGTAGTTTCTCTTCATTTAGTACATGTCATGTTACCAATGTCACATTTACTTGTTGTATTTTTAATGTAATACAGCTATTAAATTCCATTAAAATAAAAATTAAAAAAACATATATTTTTGTATTTACACTTCAACTCTTTAAAGTTTAAAAATATCGAGAGCCGTTTTAGCCAT